TGCAAGGCTCTATTTTCCTCATTTTACAACATTTCGCAACGAAACTTTGGAATATTACTAATTTTGTGATGCTCTTTCAAGCTGTGATGAAATATTTGTGTAGACTTGCCTAGATCAAAATTTTCGTTATAAGGGGAAAGGTCTATTAAGTCTCTTCGGACTTCACAGTCCGTCCACTTCAAGCGAGTCCTTCCTTTCCGCAGGTTTAGATCCCCCGGGGTGTGGGAATGGAGGGACTGCCGACAACACATCAAGAAATGAAATACATCCACTTTTCGTTCTTGTCAAGAAGGTTCTGCCTTTGCGTAAACATCAGGTTATGTCCAGGCAATTAAATCTACCCAGTACTCAATAGGAACCGCTCATTTAAGAGATGTCGTGTTTATTTAAAAAAAAAATCAACATTCAAGTCTGGAAATTATTTATAGTATGATTATTATGTATCAGTGTATCAGTTTTGTCATGTATTTATCATGATTCAAAGTGACATATTGATTTCGACCAATGGGAATTTTGTGTCGTGCAGGCAATGCTTATTTTGTTTCTTGATGTGTTGTCAGGAGTCCCTCTTTTCTCCTGAGGGATCCGTTCACAGTGATGGCAGTTGATGGCCCCATGGCAGTTGATGACCCAATTAAGACAAGAGACAAACAGTCCGTCAAAATGAAGCATCTATTTGGTCTTCTAGATTGTTTATGATATGACAGATCACTTGTCTTAGTGTTAACACAAGAGTGTCAATGGTTTTAAAAACAAATCATGCCTGATATTTGACTGATATTTCCATGTAATGCCATATTTATAGACACACAGTAGACAAATATCTCATTCCTGTGAAGATATTCTTGGGTTTCACTACGGCATTATGCAGTGAATCTGATGGGGGGTCAACCTCAAATGTATTGATGCTTATGCTGTACTGGAGTGAGAAAATGATCCGAAATTCCATGTATTTGGCACCAAACACAAGGCTAATACTTAAAACGAACAATCGACTCACTCTGAATAACTGTGTTTTGCTTTAGAGTTGACCCCCGTCACTTCTGCGACATCTCATCTACGTGGCGATCGGGCATTCTGGCGGAGATCCCGATCTCCGCTCGGGACCGTTCTAGGGTGTTTTTGTTTTTGGTGTTTTTTTTGTTTTGTTTTTTTATCTGCTATTATTTGACTTTCTATCATATTAACTTTAAATAGCTTATTATTATTAACTTTTTCTTTGGGTTAGCAACATGTATTCTGCTGACCCCAGTAAATAATCCTCATACTGAGGAGTGTGCTGTACTGGAAGACATATGAAAGTGAAACCCAAGAACAGAACGAAGATACAGTCAATTCAAAAAAGATTATCCTTTGCAAACCATAAACCTTGAATTCTAAGCTTAATGGAAGCACAAGGTTCAAGCTATTTGTGAATGAATTGTTCTTGTAAGGAACTAGAAATACATGCATGCAGAAACCCCTCGCCTTGCTTAAACCTTGATTTACTGGAGGATAATGGATTTGATGATGGTTTCTCGATTTACCATGTCTCCAAGAAATGGGCCCAACATATAATTTCTAAGATGATCGAATGATACTCCCATTATGCTTTGCATGCTTAGAGTTTAAGGTTTAGAGTTTAAGGTTTGCAAAGGACAACCTTTTTTGAATTAACTGTGTAAAAATTTCCTTGCAGCAGAGTCTGAAATGGTTTTTTTACCATATCGTATCCATTTGAAGTCCTGACTAAGAATAATTTGGGTATGGCCAATACTATTAATTGATGAGCGAAGCGAGTATGCAAAGAATGGAAGGTCGAAGCTTCAAGGGTGCTGTGAGTTGAGCGGTGGGCAAAGGCTTGCAAGCTTTGTCTATTTAGTATAGTGTCCAAGTGCAAGACTGCGTTAAAAATTTCAGCTTGTCATGACTGCAAGCACCAGAGACTGTCAAATGTCTTCATAGCGCTGGCAAAATTCGCCGTTCGCCAGCCTAAAACAAGAAGAGTGCATCCCTGGATGTTTTTATAAACAACAATAACAACAGGAGACTCATTTAAGTCAACAACTAAACAACTAATGAAGTTCGAAATCAAAGGCTGGTTATTTTCAAGAAGGCACACATAGTATTCAAAGCTATTGGGAGAGCACCAGTGAGAGATATTTAGAATTATCCGAATGTTTGAAATTTTGCAATATCCAGTCAGGATACAAGTCATTCACAGTTTGGTGTCTAAAACCAAATTTAGTATCCTACGGATATCGGGATACTGCAAATTTCAGACCCTTGTTACAAGTGCATCAAAGTTTAAATAGTGGCAATGACGAAAGTGGGAGAAAGTATAAAATGGTCTACAACGTCATATGTTGATAATCTTACCTCAGCTTCATCATCGTGATCTTTATCAGTGTGATTATTGTTCAAATTATTATTATCACGGTGAAAATCTTCATGTTCCCATTGGCAACTGTGGGAGAATATTTAAAAAACAATCATTTTATTAGAATAGAACTGACAAATTATCATGAAATAGAAGAAATAATTTATTCCCCCTGGAAAACATCATTGCCTCTAAGGGTAAATAGTTTTAACTTATAAAGCTATCCAATCTAAAACAAGTTGGTATATAGTTTAGGTTTCCTCCAGTGGCAGACACTAAGTGGGCTAGCGAGGGGGGGGGGTGGTGGTCATATGTTGGCAACCTATAAATCCCCCTCCCCTAGACCCATATTTAACAAATTGACCAGTTTGGATATTGTGGACCTCTAGAGAGAACAGTTTAGTACTCGGATTGCTTTATTCAGTGGCATTTTACCCATAAATTCTTTGACTCCATTGCAAAAGTGATCAAATGATATCAAGCCATTATCGTTTGGGTCTAAAAATCCAATCATACTTGTGATATCCTAAAAAATGCAGAAAAACAGATCTGTTACATGTTTATTTATTAACCCATTAGTGCACAGGACTCTCCCTTTGACGAATAAAATCGTCTGGTGTTAGACAGCAATGAAACTAGTGACTGACTAATTGTGTCAAAATCAGAAATTACTAATTACCGATTATTCATGCATCAATCTACCTGATGATGATTTGATATAACATGAAGTCATAATGTCAGTCGACATAATTCATTTCGGGTGACATAATTCATGTCGAATTTTAACCCATTAAGCACCAGTGCTCGCGAATCTCCCCTTGATGAGTAAAATCATCTGGCGTTAGACAGATTAAAATAATAAAGTAGGGTGCATCAGGGCGCAATGCGACTCAATGGGTTAACTAGACACATGGGCAGTTAACTCATTAAGCGCCAGCACAGTCTCTCCTTGACGAGTAAAATCGTCTGGTGTTAGACAAAGTAAAATAATATGGTGTTAGACAGAGTAAAATAATAAAGTAGGATGCATCAGGACGCAATGCGACTCAATGGGTTAACTAGACACATGGGCAGTTAACCCATTAAGCACCAGCACAGTCCCTCCTTGACAAGTAAAAAAAACAAAACAAAGTAAAATAATAAAGTAGGGTGCAATGCGGCTCAGTGGGTTAATGATAAATTCCAACATGACATGTTACATTCTCGTACCCAGAGCCCTTCTTACGCGCGGTGCGACGAGGGGTTCTGGCCAAATCCATAACCGGATACCATAAAAACATGGTAAGAAAACAATGTCCGGTGTTAGAACTAGCCAATCAGATGCCAGTTAGGAATATGGATTTGGCCAGAGCCCCTCGTCGCACCGTGCGTAAGAAGGGCTCTGGGTACGAGAATGGACATGTTATTGCAACTAAAGTTCTTAACCCATTGAGTTGCATCATTAGAATAAAAACACAGTAGAGCGCATTAGGGCAAAATGCCACTTAAAGGGTTAATTCATACGTAAGACAGGACATTACAAGTTTTAAAACCAAGGTTACCCAAGGTTGGAATCAAGGTTGCAACCAAAATTCTACCATCATAAATTTAGCACTTGGCATGTGGTAGCACAAAACCAACACCGAAAACACCGAAATTAATTCTAAAAAAATATAAACCATTAACACCAAATCACTATAAAGAAAATAAACTTGCCTTGGCATTAGAAATTTGTATTAAAAACCTATATTTATTTATTACGCTGATTGCTCTTTCATTATTTTTGTCTATAAAAGCCAGCAGGATTAAATATTTGTCATAAAACAGCTTGAATAATTCTAACCACAAAGAATCTTTTTATTAATATCTTTGCTATACCTACGTGACATAATTCACTTAACTTTAACCTTGAAATATACCCCTACTTAAGAAAGAATATCTCGAAACGTTAAAAACTAGCGTCTAAAAGTCGAAAGCCAAATATTTTACCTAAACAACCTGAAATATTTTTGATATAAAAGGGATTAAAGCCCATAGATTTGCCTTTTCGTGTTTGGTAATCAAGACAAACACGGATGTAAATATGGCGATGTCTGGAAACCGATCTTTTATATTTTGCCCTATTAACTTAGACAGATCTGTAACTCAATCTATGTTGACCCCAATATTATGCGGTTTTGGTCTAATAGTACATTTCACAGTCAAAATAGAGTAATATTATGATATATCCCTCCATAAATTTAACCAAAAATATTACCCAGTTTAAATCTGTACTTCAACTAGATTTCCCCCCAAAATAACGAAAAAAATACACAAATTTAAGAGAAGATAAAAAGCCCTGTTAAATTTCCATGAAATATTTAAGCATAAACCCCACGTTCGAATATTGTTACTATTACTTGTATTAGTGATTTAGAGTCGCACAAGCAATAGATAATAATTACCACACAAAACTCAGGCATGTATTTGTGGCTTTTGGGGGCAATTTAACGAACGCAAATCGGATTCCAATCAACAATTCATATTTATGAACCCTGTGTATTTAATTCGAGCTATATAAAAGGCTAAACATTTAGTTTTCGCCATGGGAATAGAAAAATCGTTCTATTGTTTACCTCACTGGCGATGTCCGTATGCTGTTGAACGAGTCGTAAAAGATCCGCGGTTTTAACAAATCCATCTCCATTTTGGTCACAGGCGTCGAAGACGGGCTTAAGATGGCCCATCGTATCCTTGATTATTTCCATGTTCTATCTATTCGACGCATTTCAGTTTACGAAGACCCAAAACATCTTAATATCAAACACGAAACTTCACATTTTCACATGCAAATGAGACTAAGCTAATAGCTTAGCTTAGAAACAGTCGCACAAGTTCCGAGGGTACTACTCCCCCTCAGGTGCGAGAGGAAATGCGTGTCGGTTGCTAAGCGCCGGGACTTAAAGTTGAGTGGTTGAGTGGTTCAAGGGCCCTGAAAGTAGGGACGGTCTGAGGTGACAAAGATTGTCTTGTCCCTTTGATTTATACACACTTTCCGAATTTGTTTCTAGTGCACACAAAACAGTAACTTGAAATGAACTCGACGTTGATGATGTCGATGATAACATTTTGATTATTATAATATTTTCAGTGTGTGTGTTTTGATGTTATGTACTCAGGTGAATATGTTTTTTGGTGTTTACTTGGCCACGTAGCTCAGCTGGCAGAGCATTGGACTAGTATCCCAAAGGTCGCGGGTTCGATTCCCACCATGGTCAGGCTAACTTTTCAACCTGCCCGGTGTGGATATACACTCAGAGTACATAAAAAACATTGGATTATTATAGTTTACTTTTACAGTTAATATATCATCAGAAAGTTTCAATAGAATACAATAGCTACAATTACAAAGTTACAAGTTACAAAATTTGCAACTAGCTATTACGTCATATGTCAAACATATATAGAGGATATTACACGGCGGCGCGAAGATATGACTTTTGGGCCCTTTTGATCTTCGAGTGGTGAAAACAATATTTTACGAACCGCGCAGCGAGCGAGTAAAATATTGTTTTTAACACGAGAAGCCAAAAGTCATATCTTCAAGCCATCGTGTAATGTTCTGTTTATTATACTGATATAGTCCCAAGCAAAAAATGGTGAAATTTTCATCACATCTGACATCTGGAAGAAAGGTAGAGTTACTCCAATTTTCAAATCTGGAGACCCAACTTCATCCAACAACTACCGACCAATCACCATCCTACCAACCTTGAGTAAGTTACTAGAACGAATCGTCCACCATCAAGTTTACAATTACCTGCAAGAACACAAGTTACTAGCTTCCCAACAATTCGGTTTTCGCTCCAAACTGTCAACCACCATTGCTCTGGCACATTTTACTGAGCAGATACTGGATAATCTCGATCACAGAAAAATCACTGGTGCCGTCTCTATCGACCTAAGGAAAGCTTTTGATACCGTAATCTTATCTATCAAACCGTACCCAAGTAACCGTGATCAACAGTTCAATGTCGCAACCCAAGCCAGTAACTGTCGGAGTCCCTCAGGGAAGTATTCTTGGACCACTTCTCTTCCTTATTTATATTAATGATCTACCTGAATGCTTGACCCACTGCAAGTCGATACTTTATGCCGATGACACACTCCTTTATTACTCTGCAGAAAGTATTTCCGATCTACAGTCAAAACTCAACTCCGACCTACGATCCCTTTCCGATTATCTTAACAACAACCTCCTTACACTCAATCATGACAAGACAAAGTTCATCATTTTCACCGGTAGACAACGCCTAAGATCCATCTCCAACATCGACATCTCTATTTGCAATCGGACGATAAAACAAGAACAATCGTTGAAATATCTGGGCATCACAATTACCGAGAACCTTACCTGGCATGAACATATTGAGAAATTAATGGGGAAAATCAACCAAAGATTGGGATTGCTGCGCCGTGTGAAATCTTTCTTACCGCTGGATGCAAGACAGATTTTCTATACTTCGACAATACTACCGCTATTTGACTATGCAGATGTAATTTGGGGCGATAAAAACAATTCAGAACTCATGAACTCCTTGCAAAGTTTGGAAAATAAAGCAGCTAAATTAATACTAGATCTCCCTCCTCTTTCGTCGGCAACAGAAGCTCTCGCTACATTACACTGGTCAACTCTCTCATCTCGCAGATATAAACATCGTTGTATCTTTATCTACAAATGCACTAATGGACTGATAGATTTCGACTTCAATCTCACAACTAACAGCAGAATCCATTCCCACAGTACAAGATCGTGTAACAACCTCCATCTCCCGAAAGTCAGCACGAACTGGGGCAAACATAAACCAACCTACCTCGCTTCGAAAGACTTTAACAACTTGGACGTTTCCGTCAGAAACACTGATTCTTTCAGTCAATTTAAGTCTTTACTAAGGTCACATACCGTATAACTATTCTTAGTTGTACTTATTAGATATAGTTAATTATTCGTTTCTTTATGTCGTGACGTTGTATATTAATTGTATATATTTATATAAGTAAATTTTGTTAATGATTGTATCATGCAGGACCCCACTGAAAAACACATTAGTGATGTGGGTATCCTGGATAAATATAATTATAAATAAATAAATAAATTTCACGCTCAAAAGCAAATTGGAAAAAGTCACGTGATCGATATCGTCACTACGTAAAAACGCACAAGTTGTTACAAGTCTGCAAACAAGTCTGTTCACAAGCTGTCAACAAGTTGTGTTCGCACTGCTTGTTCCCAGTTTGTTGGAACAAGTTTGGAACAAGCTGTTAACAACTTGTAACAAGCTTGATGGCATTATCAGACTAGTTAGAAGGTTGTTCTAACAATTGTTTGTTACAGCCATGATATCAAGGATGTTACAAGGTTGTGACAATCTTGTTATGTCAAGTATGTAAAGGACTTGTCAGAACAACCTTGCAACAAGTCTGATAATTTCGACAAGGTTGTTACAAGTTGTCAACAAGTTGTTCCAAACCGTGTGAAGATATGGAAAATATCTCACTGTGTATTTTTCAGTATCTCACTCTCTGCTATACAGTATAATAAACAGTATTATAATGCCAAGCAAATATAGCAAGAGTCAGACTACTGACTACGATTCATGGATTGAGTTATGTCAATTGTCAACATGAACTGAATTTAGTGAATTAGACCAAACAATTGTTTAATTTATTAACCGGAAAAATAATTTTCACACATTGTCATTGCGCAGTATTGTAGTCTGAAAACTTAAAACCCTGCGCAACAGAAAGCTATTAGTCTAAAGTATCAGTTTCTAAATACTGTTTTGTTTACAACTATATATTTATATGGGACACATGATACAAATTGTTTTACTGGGTCAATGAAAAATATTTTCGCTGTTTTACTTTGTTGTGGCATACTGTATCAAGATACGATGGTCTGGAAGTCGGGCAAACTTCAAAGCTACAAAATAGAAGGCACTTGTAGGCTTTGTTTGATATTGAACTGTACCTGGTCCAGCCTCGTCGTCCCCGGCGCGTGAAGGTCTCTCGGGAGAAACATGCGTGGACAGGAGAAGGGGGAATATACGTGCGCTTTCAGAGCGGAGCGGCGCAAATCCCACGCACATACTGGAGCCTGGGGACGAGGCTGTCCTTCGTCTCAACCATAGATATAGGAGATCTAGATTGCTAACGCATACCTAGCGCAGGCGGGGCCTACATGATAAATCCAAGATGGCGGTACAACAGGACAAAAAGACTATAGATTCTATTACGAAAATCAGTATTTTTGCATTTTTTGCCGTCGCATTGTTTCGAAACTTATTCGGTCAAATTTTATGGTAAAGAGAAACTTACCGCGAAGATTTTGAGCATATATATGATTGAATTGGATGAAAAATCGCAAAATTATCCAGCGATAAAAGTTCGTGTGAAATGGTCAGTTGGTCAGTTGGAGCGTTTTATTGCCAGAAATACTGTGCTATGTTAACATCTTGCCTAGTGAATGGTGTTTTATACTTGCATCTCTCATCATCATCTGCTCTGTCCTCATAATTATGAAAAATGAACTGTTATGTACCCCCCCCCCCTTGCTTGTTAGAGAAGTAAACTGATGAGAGCACTGGATGAGGGTCTATCATCTATGGTCTGTTATAATTTGCTTTTTATGCAAATAGTGAGCAAAAATTAAAGCAAAACTGTACAAGTTACATATATAGTACTATATCAGTACTATACACGAACTTTTATCGATGGATAATTTTGCGAGTTTTCATCCAATTCAATCATATATATGCTCAAAATCTTCGCGGTAAGTTTCTCTTTACCATAAAATTTGACCGAATAAGTTTCAAAACAATGCAACGGCAAAAAATGCAAAAATCCTGATTTTCGTAATAGAATTTATAGTCTTTTTGCCCTGTTGTACCGCCATCTTGGATTTATCATGTAGGCCCCGCCTGCGCTAGGTATGCGTTAACAATCTAGATCTCCTATATCTATGGTCTCAACGTCACTAAATATTATTTACGGCGTTTCATCTCAGCTATCTCTATAGACCCATTGCACATGATGTCACAGCGCCGGTGACGATGCATCTAGGACAAATCAGCAATCTATGCATAATATAACTTTTGTAAACAAAGCAAATGTTGTAAAACTTTATAATAATTTGTAAACAAAGCAAATTTTGTAAAACTTTATAGTAATTTTGTATTAAAATGGTTAATTTTTGCGCTGTATGCGGTTGTTGTACCCGAACAGATATTGTCAGTAGGGGACTTAGGGAGCATCTGGAAGGCACTCTAAGGATTTGTGACGTCAGTGCAATGGGTCTATTGGGCTTGAATGAGCGCTTAATCACCGTGACCGTGTACAAATTAACATAAACTCGGACAAAAATATAATACAACGACTTCTGTTTAGTTTCCAGACAATCATTTCTTGATAGACTATGGTTGTGGAATAAAATGTGGATGCTAAATCACCAAGTCAAATTACAAAGTATACTTAAGTAGTGCACATTGTGGCTTCATAAACGATGGTTTAACCTAGTGAACAGCTAAATCCCTGATTTTCTTGCTTATTGGCATCAATATCTAGTCTCACATTATGATCTTCAGATTCCCTTCTGCTTTCAAACATTTTCAACGAATGCTTCCCAAGTTCTCTTAACAAGTCCTTTACACCTTCGTTAGTTTTTGCTGATGTCCAAAAATTTGCCAAAAAATTCTCTTTCAAATTCATTCTACGAAGAAATTCTTTCTCTTTTTCTTCTAGAACACCATCTTCCCCAATTGGCAAGTCAATTTTATTTCTAACAAGAATTACTTTTGCTGGAGGTACACGTCCATATCGTTCGAGATCCTCAGCAATACGGAGCAATTCATAGAACGATTCCTCGTCAACAGCACTATATACTAGAAGAATAAAATGGCTGCCTCGATGACAACTATACGGCACGATTTCATCATACAGGTCATATCTTTCCATGTCGGCTGTATCCCAAAATACGAACGGTATTACAGTTTCATGTTCGTGCAATATTTCCTCGTGTTTGCGTGTATCTATACGCCGGACTATACCTACGGAAGATGGCGGTTTTATGTCGCTGAAACCTTCCTTTAATATTCTTCTTAACAAACTTGTTTTACCCACACCATACATACCAGCAAAACTGACTTTGTACGATCTAATTGGCCGTTTATAATGTGCAACAGGACCTTTTATAGTTTGCAACTCAACAGCGTCTTGGTTTTCGGCCATATTTCATAAAGTTACTTCCTGTTTCAATTTAATTGTTTCTTAGGGCAGATATGATTAGGCTTATTCTATGGTAATACTGTACAAAGACTGTTGTCGTTGCGTATCAAATATCAATTGACAGACTAGTACATCCTTTCACGCAAAGCTGTTTCTTTATACATTTTGAATTCATCGCTATCAGTTTTATAAACTTAAATAGTTAAATTGCTTTGGGAGTAGTGTCTAGTATTCTAGTAACCTAATTAGCCTTTCTCACGGCCGATTCTTCCGCCATTTTTGGGGCCCACGTTAACGTTGAGAGTCTCCGCAACACGAAATACAATTTTTAGCATTGTAGTTGTTTGTAAAACGGTAAATTTTCATGTTGTTTGAATTGTCTAGAATCTTTTACGAAGGCAGACATTACTCCCAAAATGGCAGATTTTGACCGGTAAGCTGTAAAACATGGAATCTGGAATCTTGGAATCTTGGAATCCTGGAATCTTGGAATCCTGGAATCTTATCATAGAACCGCAGAATATGTTATTATCAAGATAGTATTATTATACTTATGCAACATATTGTTCTGTATGCGATAATTTAACACTTAGCTACAGAAGCAGACCTTGGTAATATATTATCAGTATATACTATATACGTTGCAGAATTTAATATCTCCATCTTGATGCCAATACATAATATAAACGCTGTGCGCGCATCTAAATAATCAGGGGCGCCGGAAGCAACATGAAGCGCCGGGGGCAGCCATTTAAAAAGGGCATTTACTCTTGAGCCTTAATTTTTTTTTTGGGGGGGGGGTCAATGTTCGTTAACATTTTTCCGTATAACGGGTACTTCATTACTTGTAGCTAATACAGTTAGACAAATTTCGGCATGGATTGGAACATTTTTATTCGTTGCATGACACTAAAGACTAAAATGTATTGTAAAGCAACATGACAGTTGTCCGTTATTTAGGAAGGCATTCTTTTTCCCTTTTTTCACATAGGTGGAAACTGATTGGTAACGTTTCTGAGAGGAATTCAGATTCAAATATGAGCTAAAATATTTAAAAACAGTTTTCAATTTAAATTCATGTGAAAAACGCACGACGTTCGAAGTACAGTTCTGGTAAAAAAGGCAACCTGCTGCCCCCGTGCTGCCCCGGCACTGTTTAGGCAACGGGGGCAGCTGCCCCCGCTGCCCACGTGGTTCCGGCGCCCCTGACAATAATGCCGTCGGTTTATGAGTGCGTAGCAAGATGACCTGGCGGGAGGAAACTAAATTACATTATATATATATCATTGCAATCAGGAAAAACTCAATTAATTAGATGCACTATAACACCTCGTATTCCGTCAAAAAATACGACACTTGCCAACAATTGCCGAGTTCATATAGTCTATATTCAACGAATTAAGGTTATGTCTTATGTTATAAGACAGTAAGCCACTTTGACTTCTCCTCTACACTAGTAATCAAGTTCTATATTATTGATGATCGATTTCATGTATGCATGGGTGCATTGTATGTTTGAACTGAATTTCGCCGAAAAAGCTTAAAAAGCGTTAGATTAACGCACTGTCGCTACAACATTGCCAGTTGAAAAACCACGTGCTATATAACTCACTTTAGTCACTTACTCACATAGCAAGACTATGAGCCTCATTAACCACGTACTATATAACCTTAATTCGTTGAACTATGAACACGGCAATTGTTCGCAAGTGTGCTATATAGTTTTTGACGGAATACGAGGTGTTATAGTGCATCTAATTGATAATTGAGGTTTTCTGATTGCAATGGTCATATCTTGCTACGCACTTGACTTTAACTCTATTCATAAACCGACGACATTATGCCGCACAGCGTTTATATTATTATGAATTTGCATCAAGATGGAGATATTAAATTCTGCAACGTATAGTATATACCGATAATATATTACCAAGGTCTGCTTTGCTAACTCACCAAGTATTAAATTATCGCATGCAGAACAATATGTTGCATAAGTATAATAATAATATCTTGATACTAACATATTTTGCGGTTATATGATAAGATTCCAAGATTCCAGGATTCCAAGA